ACTGGCGACTGCTACTACTACTACTTATTATATCTGGGAGAGTCTATTTACAATAGAATAGGTATGTTCTAGTATAACAATAGTTAAATATTGAGTCCCAAATTTCTCAAATTCGCTTCTTTTAACCTGTGCCGATATTGCATAAATGATTCCTCCTGTTTCTATTTAATGGGCAGAAATTTGGTTCTTCCTGCTATGACAAGTTTCTTTTTAAGCCGTAAACTTCTGCTTAAAGTCAAATTCTCCAATTGTTTGTGGTATGCCTCAACAAAAATTATTATTAATTATTATCATTATAGCTTCAAAACCTGCCAAAGAGGTCAGTTATTTCATTTTCTCCACCTATTGCCGGGTAATCTTTCATTTTTTAACCCTAGCCTGGGCTACAAAACACCGGATCCAAGTCACGACAAATTCTGGTTCATCCTATTGGCGACGCCATATTGTATTGTGTTGTGTTGAGATGTGATGTTCTACGACACATAACCAGTAGTCAACTTCTTACCTGTCTCTTAGTTTACTATGCACTTTATATAACTTCTACATAACACATGTAAATAAGTACAACCCTATTTACGAATCCACTAGATAGACCTAAAGGATTAATTCTATTGAAGCAAATTTTCAATCTTTGAGCTGCGAAAACTGGTGTATTGCAATTATAGTAATCTTGTAAACAAGATGGGCGCCACACATGACATCCTTATGAAAGTGCAGATTTGCTATAATATATACAAATCAAAAGAGATGACTGGTCACTTCAAGTACATTTAGCTCTGGTAGCCATCTTCTGCAATTCATTCTGGTATTAATTAAAAATGAGTATTGGCATTTATTTTGTTATCAGTCATTAAAATGCCATACGTGATACACGTTTGGGCGATCATGTTTCTTTTGATCCATCACTGACTAGGTAGATGTTCCCGCAGTAGGCTACCGTTTCTTCCTGTGATAGACTAGTTGCCAGCGAAGGCTAAAGAATCTAGTCTGCCCTGCTATTCAAGGGTGAAGAGATGGAGTCATACTGTTCGCAAGGATATTTGTGCGTAAGTGAATGTTACGGACTCGATTGGGATTCGAACCCAATTTCTCATTCTGAACCGATACTCATTACACCACAACACACCCATTTCGACATTAAATCCAGATTATTGCGTTTTTATACCAAGGTTTAATAAAAGTTCCATACGTGGTAGAGGATTACTAAATGTAAGAAGAGGTAGAAAAGTGAATATTATGCGGATAAGAGGAGTATATACCGATTGAACCTTGACCTGAAGAGGTTAAGAGAGCAGTGCGCAGGAAAACATTCAGGGGGGGCCTCTTGCAAAACTAGCAGTTCATACAGAGAGGAACTTCTTTCTTACGAATAGATTGATTTATTCTTTTACGGTTTATCAACCTCTTTGATATTTAAAGCCGAAACACACTTCGGATTGTAGGAGATTCCTTACAGTGCCCGATGTTCCACATTTAAGTATTAACTGGGCTCGACGCCACTTAACTTCGGCGCGATTTGACCGTAGTCTCTTTGGAATGGAATACTGTGGAATGTCGAAGATTAGATCCCGTAGACGTAATAAGGTTAGTCCTAAATGTAAATGTCTCAAATGCTGGAATTAAAGAATGTAGCACTCATCTGAACATTCGCCGTGGAAATAGCGATAAATTAGCGATAGGCTTGCGACTTTGTGCCTGTTGGGAAAGAGGTTGGAGAGAGGAAAAAAAGTCATCCCCAAGACTGTGTAAACGATTTTGATCTCTGTCAAGCCTGGATAGTGAGAATTGGGCAGCTTCAGTATACACATAGAAGTAATACTCAATCTTTTGTCTAATCTGCCTTTTCTTGGCCTCATGCTTTCGATTGATTTGAAGTGGAACAACAACATTGAATCAACAGCTGCATCTACTGCAAGGAAAGTTGGCTCATTGTATCGTGCCAGAAGTTTTTTTTTTCTCGTGACAGTACATCTTGCACATTTACAAATCTGCCATTTGGCCGTCATTGAATGCTGTTGCTATATCTGGTCCGGTGCCTCAGTTGTTCATCTTATGGTTCTCTACATAATCCAAAATTGGATCTCCAATGTAATCGATCCTGACTTGACGTCTCGACTTCAATCACTTTCTTACAGACGTGATGTGGCTCCTGTCTTTTCTACAAGTATTTTCATAACAACTGTTCTGTCAAGCTTTTTTCCCCTGGTGCTCCAACTACATAAATTTAAGCGTGCTACTAGACTAGCATCTAGGTCCCACCCTTTTACCGTTGAAATAGTTAAATATAACTGTTACTTCTACTCCAACAGCTTCTTTTCTCGCACTTCCCTCCTGTAGAACTCCCTTCCATTTACTTGCTTCCTTGATAACTACAATCTTCAAAAATTTAAATGCAACATCATCTTCTGATTTCTTGAACCCAGAGCATCATTTATCCTTTCCCCAAACCCCCCTATACACAGTTTTTTTTTCCTCTCACCTTCACTCTATGTAACCTGCTGAGAACCAGTGGCACTCCTGCCTTGCTTGGGGAGAAATACTTAAAAATAAATAAATAAATAAACATCTAACTCTTTGTGAAAGAAAAGCATGACATAAAGAGTCGAGTAGTTTTTGAAACGGAAGGAGTCAATCATTTTTTAAAGATTTCTCTGTATCTTTTCTATATACGTAGATACATCAATAAGTCCATAGTCTAATGATGAAAAAATCATTTATTTTACAGAAAAAAAAATTTCTTAATATGTACCTTCTTGTTAATGCACATAATCCAAAGCTTAATCACATCGATCAAACCTTAGACATATCAAATTTCAGGTCAAAATTCCGTTAATAATTGTGTCAGGCTACGGTTTTATTGATCATCCTCGTAATCATCGACCACAAAATTCAAATGAAGATTCACGTACATTAAAGTAATTTTGCAAGGAAACCAATTTATCTTCAAGCTTTATCTGTTGTATTCAACCCGAGAGTATACACAGAGCTTGGTTCGTTTTCAGACGAAATTAATCCGATATAGAGGAATTTTATCTCTGATTTCAAACGTGTCCATTTTTAAGAGGAACCGTTTCAAAGTCATAAAATTTGCTATATTCTGCCGATTCCTATAATTTCCACAGACACACAGAGGCGAGCATAAACCCGCGTAGGCAATAAACGAAAATTGTATATTCTCCGTTGAAGATAATGCTTGTATTCAACACGTCCCTCATGACACTAAAGCTTTTGACATCTCAACACACATCTCGCAGATAATTCGTTAATCTTGTGAGCTTAATCATCACTGGGTCCTTTGCCTTATTCCAGAGTAATATAACCTTAATAGCTCTATAGAGAAGACCTGCTATTGGACAATGTTAAGTTAATCTCACAGACTGATTTTGATCGTCACTGGGTGTTCATCTGTGAACCTGACTAAGACAAACTTCGTAAAATATCGATTTATTAATTGATTTAGTTTTACGGTTTACTCATTTTGGGTCATTTAAAAGTGAAAAACATTCTGGATTTTAAGAATAATACATGTTTTTCTGGAGTGAATATTGAATTAACGATTTTCAGAATAACTATGTTTTTCTATAGATACTAGTCCTACTGCTTAACCCATACCTGGTGGAGGGGTAGGCGAATCCATAACTTTTCCAGGGATATTTGCATGTGAGGATATAAACATGATTTGAATTCGAACTCGGCTCTCCTATTTCTTACACCGTGTCGCTATCCATTACAACATTCGCACCTCCGCAGTAAAATATCGAAAGACACTTGTCATGCTGTGATGGTTAACAAGCCTAATTGAAAACCATTCACTATTTTAGTCAGTACTATTTAATTGATTTATTTCTTTTTGTTATGGTGACCTATCTACATTAGAATGAACTCTTTCTCCTTCATAAATAGTAAACTGCGAAACTTCCTAAGCGAGGTAGTCGTTGAGCAGTCTCTGCGTGCGACATCTGTCGAACTCTCTGCTTTGGCAGAGAGAAACCCGGATGAAGCTTTGCCGAAGGGCAAAGTTTCGTCCGGGGAGGTAGACAGATTCCGAACCCGCTTATGCAGGTTCTAAGGGAATATTTTTTACCGAGCCTATGGGCTCGGAGAACCCACGATAAACTCGGCCTTGTGCCACATACATTCCTCGTGGGGGTACTGTTAAATATCGGCTGTCGGGACACAGTCTCTGACTGTGTTCGACTTCTGTCGAACTCTCTGCTTTGGCAGAGAGAAATCCGGACGAAGCTTTGCCGAAGGGCAAGGTTTCGTCCGGGGAGGTAGACAGATTCCGAACCCGCTTATGCGGGTTCTAAGGGAATATTTTTGACCGAGCCTGCGGTCTCCGTGAAACCCACGTAAACTCGGCCTTGTGTCACATACATTCCTAGTAGGGACGCAGTGTAACCTGGTAGTTTGAATAGACACTACTATCTGCTGACTAATAACACTCTTATTTTGTATATATACATATATATATATATATATTCTGTTATTTCAATACATTTGTTCAATCTACCTTCTTCTTTCCGTGTCTTTCTTTCTGGCACCTAACAGGCCACAACACGTTTTTACTCGTTAGCATCCTTTCACATGTTATTTAAAGCCAGAAAATATTTTTAGATTATAAAGGGTTTTTTTTTAAGATAATAATGACGTAGTGATACAAATCTTACTAATTAATCCATAGCTAAGTGGAGAAGAGGTCGGGGTGGGGGGTCATACCTTATCCTGGGGGTATTTGCTCGTAAATGAATATAAGGAACCCAACTGCAATTGAAACTCCGATTAACAATTTTGAGTTACGTATATACTCGCGTCGAAGACCTAATTTTGAAGCTAATTTTAAGGGGGTCGCGTCATACACAAGATATAAAATTAGCGTATAAACTGCTGGCCCCGCTTACCGAACTATATATCCATTTACTTTAGTCAAATTACCTTCAAAAGTCGCATGATGCGCAAGTATATATATGGTAATTCATTGCACCAACAGCATATAAAAGCTTACAGAACCCGGTATTTCCACGCGGTCACCCATCTAGATACTGACTAGGCTCGACGTTGCTTAACTTCGGTGATCGTACGTGGGGACCGGTGTTTCAACGCTCGGTGGCCATATGCCCCATTTTATAGCGGTTTTATTCCAGATAAAGCTAAGTAAGCAATAGTAGGAGTTTTTCATTTTATCTGATGGACTCAGCCATTATCCTTGCTTTTTAAATGTTAGTTCGTCTTAATGTTTAGGCTTTTGTTGTTGTTTTTTCTTTTTTTTTTATTGCAAATCAGCCCCATCAATCCTAACGGATTGAGTAGGTAGCACCGGTAGAAATAAAAGATAAGCCCCCAGTTAGATTCGGAGACACGTCAACTTTTTTGTTCCTGTGGGAGCCTGATAAACGCTTTGTTTCTTTCAGGACGAATGTGTGGGGCTTGGAAGAACAAATCGCCTTGAATTCTTATCAGGAGTTCCTAGAGAAAAAAGGAACGTGAATTCGAATCTCACCGAGAGCTTATCCTTTATTTCCGATCCGCCCTACCGTAGATTTAAGGCCTGAGTAAAGTCGCGTTAAAAAGCAACTAAAGAAAAAAAAATAGAAATTCTGAATGACTAATTAAAGATAATAATAAAATATATGAATAGCAGAAAAGTCATACTAAAGGGTACTTCTAAAATCTTGCGTAGATGTCGTTCTATAGAGTGATCACAAATACACGTTATTCTCCTTGACTGTATGGCATCTCATCTTGTTTTTCTCATGAAATCTCTGGTTGAGACTTGGGGGCAACTCGGCACTACACAAATAAATGCTGAAAATAATAATAATAATAAAAGCTGTCAAAATACAAGGACCTTGAAATAGAAATTTCAAAAATGTGGCATATGGGAACATCAACAATCCCTGTTGTAGTTGTAGTCATAGGATTAGTTGGAAAAGATTCCAGTAGACTAATTGAAAGGATTCCTGGAAGTCCATGCCTCAAGGAGATACAAAAATTTGTTCTGACAAGTACAGACCACACTTTACGAAGGGCTTTATCTATGTTATTTTTTTTTGTCAGTGGAAAGTGTCATGATACCATTTCTAACCTTAGGTCCCTGGGCGGGACCCGGAAAGAAATGTGTAAACGCCAGAAATCAAAGAAAATAATAATAATAATAATAATAATAATAATAATAATAATAATAATGACATACATGATATTATCATAAAAGACAAGAAATTCAGGAAGTGTATGCTTATTGACATCGCAGTAGCATCTGAGAGAAACACCTCCATGAAAATTATCGAGAAATTGTTCAAATACAAGGACCTGGAGATGGAGATTAACAGAATGTTGGGAATGAAGACTGAGACTGTACCAATAGTAATCGGAGCACTGGACCTAGTGAGAAAAGGAATGACCAGTTTTACTATCAGTGTATCAGGTAACATCAACATACAAGTTAGCCAGAAGATCTCCCGACTAGGAAACACCCCATTTCACACAGACACGCCATCACCTCTCTCTGTCTTTTTTACAAATACTTTCATGGCAATTGCTCCGAGGAGCTGCATTCGCTGGTTCCCAGACTTCATGAGTTCGAGCGCCCTACGAGGCTGGCATCCCTCTCACCCCCTTCACTGTCAGAAACTCCTAAATGTAGCCGTCTCTCTTCTACTCCAATAGCTTCATGTCTCGCACCTCTCGCCTGTGGAACTCACTTCCCTATTCCTGTTTCCCTGTGAGCTATAATCTCCAGCTATTCGAATGTAATGTCAATCGACATCTCCAGTTGCCTTGATCTATCCACTACCCTTCTCCTCATCCTTTCTTCTATCACTCCTATCTGTAACCCCTTGCGTCCTAGTGGCTTCCCGCCTTGCTTGGAGTGAAACGCTTAAAATATATATATATATATATATATATATATATATATATACTAAAAAAAGTGCTATCAATTAAGACAATTTTCTTATAGGGCCTAAGGACCACAGTTTTGCCCCGCCTTGCAAGATAAAAACAGGAAACATACACAAATACTGTTACTACTACTAATACTACTACTACTACTAATAATAGACACTGCCTTCTTTAATAAAATGAAAGTAAATACGAATAAAAAATTAATGATAATAGTTGACAATGATTTATCTAATAAAAATAAGATGAAAGTAAGTACTTGTCAAGAATGATTAAAGATAGTGCTTATCTAATAAAAAAGTGAAATGATTGATAATAATGATAAAAAATACTTCATTCAATAAAATTAGGATGAACGGAAATACTACTTTTTAATCCTTTCATCCATGCAAGTCAATAAAGCCACTAGGAGTGTTAGACAATATGAGAAAAACTATAATTAAGAAGAGTGGACAACAAAAGAAAAGAATTAAGATCGGTCAATGTATGGCTATTTTAGAGGTATGACGGACAGCCGGGCTAACGAAAGTTACAGGAATTTATATATAGATATTTTTATGGTCATTAGCAAGAGTGCGTTCTCCAGACAGCAGGTTAAGCACTTTAACTATCTCTTGGGTCCTATAAGAGACGATGGAAAAGGAGACACATAACTTCTGTCTATATTTCTGAGATGAGGTATTATGTACGCTATTTACATTATTCGGACTATTTTCCTAATCTTTGTTGCCATATTTATCCGATCCTTCAGAATCTGTCTATATTTCTGAGATGACGTATTATGTACACTATTTATATTATTCGGACTATTGTCCCCATCTTTGTTGCCATATTTATCCTATCCTTTAGTATCTGTCTATATTTCTGAGATGAGGTATTATGTACACTATTTACATTATTCGGACTATTGTCCTCATCTTTGTTGCTATATTTATCCGATCCTTCAGTATCTGTCGATATTTCTGAGATGAGGTATTATGTACACTATTTATATTATTCGGAATATTGTCCTCATCTCTGTTGCCATATTTATCCAATCCTTCAGTATCTGTCTATAATTCTGAGATGATGTATTATGTATACTATTTACATTATTCAGACTATTGTCCTCATCTTTGTTGCTATATTTATCCGATCCTTCAGTATCTGTCGATATTTCTGAGATGAGGTATTATGTACACTATTTATATTATTCGGAATATTGTCCTCATCTCTGTTGCCATATTTATCCAATCCTTCAGTATCTGTCTATAATTCTGAGATGATGTATTATGTACACTATTTACATTATTCTGACTACTGTCCTCATCTTTGTTGCTATATTTATCCGATCCTTTAGTATCTGTCGATATTTCTGAGATGAGGTATTATGTACACTATTTATATTATTCAGACTATTGTCCTCATCTTTGTCGCCTTATTTATTACAACGTTTCGGCTGTTGTACGCTCCGGCCTTCTTCAGGTGGTTGGAATGTCGAATTGAACCCTTTATTTCGCTCACTGGGGTAAACTGTTCTAGTTCCACGTGCCATGTTTAATGGATGTCGGTTATCAGTTATCTCCTGTTAATTCCCCTCTCCAAGTTCTCCACTGCCTTAACCGGGTATTGGACTCTCACTCTTTACTTGGCCACAAAAGTCTCCTGAGACGACCAGGCATAGAAATGAATACAATATGGGAACCAGTAATAAGGAGTGCCAGAGAAAAGCGATAATAACAAAAAATTGCAATATGGGCTCTAGTAAAAACATGGAATGATAACAGCAAAAATTGCAATATGAGCACTGGTAAAAAAAAGGTTACTGAAGACATTAGGTTTATAATACCCAGAAATTCATACACAGATGTCCTCAAGGACACATAGCACAGGCGTTGGTTAGATACAGTGACAGTCTACCCCAGTGAGCGAAATAAAGGTTTCAGCTTGACATTTCAACCACCTGAAGAAAACCTAAGCGTACAACGGCCGAAACGTTGTAATAACTATGACGACAAAGATGAGGACAATAGTCCGAATAATGTAAATAGTGTGCATAACTTCCAGTTTTTAGTAAAATGACTAAAGATATTTTCCAATAACGAAACAAAAAATTTACGAAACAAGAAAATTTTGACAGAAACAAAGAAAAGATTTCTGAACTGCTATGTAATATCAATTCTCCTATACGGCAGAAAATGCTGAATAGTTTCTCCACATTTCAGGCAAGATAGATGTGGTTCTACAGGAGAATGCTGAGGATAGTATGGATGGAACATCTTAGCACTGTGGATGCTCTAAGGTAAACTGGAACGGAAAAGACACTTGTGTTTTCTATCAGAAAAAGACAGTCGAAATTTCTGGGACACATAGTGAGAAAAGAGGGCTTCAAGAATTTGACACTCACAGAACATAATGAAGGCAAGAGAGGTAGAGGGAAAGGAAGAATAACCTAACTCAAGGGCCTGTGTAAATGGATGGCAAAACACGGACTGTGAATGGTAATAAGGGGACATATATTGCTTAGAACTGCGAAGGATAGAACGTTGTGGAGATCCATGATCCTCAACGTCTTAAAGGGATACGGCACAAAGAAGGAGATTCACATCTCACTTCTTTGTTCTGTTTTTTTTTCGGGGATGTGGATGAGAAATTTTGGCTATATTTTTCAATGAAACAAACATTCCTCAAGGCTAAGCCTTTGTCAAAGAGAGGATATGTTTTTTCTCAAAAACATTTATTTAGCCACCGAAAATATTTGTTATGCTTTTACAAGAACTGGCGAACTGTAATATATAAGAATCACTTCAATAAACTCAAGCATAAAGAACAACAAACTAGAAAAATATTTGGCAATTTATAAGAGTTTATGATAATGTCTTATTGTGTTTCTATAAACTAAATTCATCGTCGTTGATATATATATATATATATGACAAGAATTTAAGCTTTATATTTTCCGGCTTCTCCCTGCTCTCCTATTCTTGAATGCGGAAAACAGTTCTAAAGAGGATCTATTCTTCCTCTCCTGTCATTCTGAAATGATCTTTTCCTGACTTACATCGAATGAGGTAACATTTATCCGCATTCAGATTTCTACGCTTATGTAATTTGAAAAAAAAAGAAGCATTGGTTTATCTTTTATTTATTGCTGACTTCCATAAGATGCGTACCGATTTCTTCAAAATGCTTCCGGCTACATCAAATCGAAACACCGATTCCCGT